TGAGAATTTGATGTCTTGTATTGATTTGATATCGTTGAATTGGCTATGGAGATAATTGGCATAATACACATTTACCTGACTGTTAATAAATTGTTACATTTGATCTATTCTGACTTACTCTGAAATTATTTCCTCAAGTAGATTAAGTGAATGCGTACCCGCAAATCTGCGACCAGGGTTACGTGCATACTAGATCTCAGGTTTAGCAGGTGAGATCATGGGTTTCTGACTAACCGCTTGACCTTAATTTAAGTTGTACTCAGTTACGTTAACCATGTATATGATTTCAGCTTTAATTAAGTTGTACGTAGTTATATTAACTATCGGGGGCTAGACAAAGGGTTCTAGCAGAACCGCTGATTATTGTTTTGAGCATTAATTAAGTTGTACATGGGTAACTGTAGGGGGCTAAACAGAACTACTATTTAAAGAATGGTAAGCATGGGCGACCCATTAAATAGTATTAGTCATAAACCTCTGGCTAAGGATCAGACTGCCGAGTTTGTGATCGTGGAGCCCACGCATAGCGGCCGCCGTGAGGCATCCTAAGCGACATAGATTCCTAATGAACGAGTAAATATCAAAGTCATGAGTAAAACAGAATGATCAAACACTCACCTAAATTTAATGAGTAACAAACAACTCTCCTAACCCTTTTCATTTTTGGAGTCAGATGAATAAAAGAGGTAAAACACAAGAAAATGTATTTAATTTAATATTGTTGTGCTGCATAAAAGGAAAGACAGCAACACGCAAGAATCCTTCTACCGGATCACTGGCTACCGCCATTGGACCAGTGGGCGGATCTTACATAGGTGACTTTGTTTCTTCAGTAGAACACAAACAAAGATTTTTAACTCAAACCGTCTATCAGTCTTATAATGGCAGTCAATGGGCTCCACGGTTTTGAGAGTAAAAAAATCATACACATACAAAACCAAATTAAACCCTGTGGCTCGTGACGATACATTGAGGTCTTAAGACACTAAATGATCGGTATGTGCAAGAAACTGAACAGTATATACCTGATCTTTTACCTCTGTTCCACCGCAATGTCCAACTGTCCTAAGCGCGTTCACAACATCACGTGTACGTGCTCTGGCATAGTAGACATAGATATATATATAAGTAGATTCCCGCGGCACATAGAAACAGGCGCT